ATGCCTGTTTTCTGAAGTGTTCGTATCATGAAAGGGTGTTGAATTTTGTCAAAAGCTTTCTTTGCATCTGTTGAAAGAATCATGTTGTCTTGTTTTGCTTCTGTTTATGTGGTGAATTGCATTATAATTTACGTATGTTGAACCATCCCTGCATCCCTGGATGAAGCCCACTTGGTCGTGATGGATTATTTTTTTGAAAACGTCTGGATTCGGTTAGCTAAGATTTTGTTGAAAATTTTGCATTATATTCATTAGGGACATTGGTCTGTAGTTTCTTTTTTTGTTGCATCCTTTCCTGGTTTGGTATCAGAGTAATATTCGCTTCATAAAAGGTGTCGAGGAGGTTTCGTTCTTCTCGATGTTGTGGGAATAGTTTCTGCAAGATAGGTACTATTTCTTCTTGTTAGTATGGTATAAAATTCGGGTGTGAAGCCATCTGGACCGGACTTTCTTTTTAGGAGATTTTTAATTGCTGTTTCTATTTTAGTTGTTGAGATTGGTCTGTTCAGGGAATCTATTTCTTCCTGGTTGAGCCTAGGGAGGCTGTGTGTTTCTAGAAATTTGTCCATTTCCTCCACATTTTCCAGTTTGTGTGCATAAAGATTTTTGTAGTATTCATAAATTATATCTTGTATCTCTTTGGGATCAGTTGTGATATCTCCTTTTATTCCTGATGGAGCTTATTAGGGATTTCTCTTTTCTGCTTTTTTGTTAGCTTAGCCAATGGCGTGTCAATTTTGTTTATTTTTCAAAAGAACCAACTTTTTGTTTATTAATCTCCTGAATAGCTTCCCTGTTTTCAATTTCGTTTAGTTCTGATTTGATCTTGTTGATTTCACTTCTTCTGCTGGGTTTGGGGTTGGTCTGTTCTTCTTTTTCCAGCTCTTTGAATCGTTTGGTTAGATTGTCTATTCGTGATCTTCTTGTGTTTTGGTTATAGGCATTTATGGAGATACACTTTCCTCTCAGAACTGCTTTAGCTGTGTCCCAGAGGAGTTGATAACTTGTCTCTCCATTGTCGTTTTCTTCATAGAATTATTTTATTTCCATCTTGATTTCTTCATTTATGAAGTAATCATTTAGTAGGAGGTTGTTAATTTCCACGTTTTTGTGTAGAAATGTGAGTTTCTGTTAGGTTGATTTCGAGTTATTCCACTGTGATCTGAGAAGGTACATGGTATGATTTCTATTTTTTAAAATTTCTTGAGATTTATTTTGTGTCCTAGGATATGGTCAATCCTAGAGAATGTCCGGAGCTGATGAGAAGAACGTATATTCAGTGGATTTTGGGTAGAATGTCCTATAGATGTAAGTCAGACCCAGTTGTTCCAGGGTTTTGTTTAAGTCCATTATTTCTTTATTAATTTTCTGTTTGGAGGATCTGTCTTGTGCCATCAGTGGGGTGTTGAAATTTCCGGTGATTATGGAGTTGCTATTAATCCATTTGCTTAGATCCAGTAAGCTTTACTTTATGAAACTGGGTGCACCTAAGTTGGGTGCATATATATTTTAAATTGTTATCTCTTCTTGTTGAAGTGTGCGCCTTCACATTATATAATGACCCTCTTTGTGTTTCACTACTTTTGTTGGTATAAAAACTAAATAGTCTGAAATTAGAACTGCCATGCCAGCCTTCTTTTGGTTTCCACTTGCCTGGAATACTGATCTCCACCCTTTTACTTTTAGTCTATATGCATTCTTGCAGGTAAGATGTGTTTCCTGAAGACAGCATATACTTGGCCTGTATTTTCTTATCCATTCAGCCAGCCTATGTCTCTTGAGTGGAGAGTTTAAGCCATTCACATTTATTGAGAGAACTGATAGGTAAGGTAGGATATTGTTCATTCTGACAGGTTGGATGTTGTTGCTTTGATTTCTCTCTTGAGCCATTGTATTATATGGCTTTTAATCTTTGGGGTTTGGTTGTTTTTATATTCATGCGTTTCCATTATGGTGCTCCGTGTGTAACACTGTTTTGAGTAGTTCTTGTAGGGCTGGTCTTGTCTTGGTGAATTCTCTGAGACTTTGCTACTCTGAGAATGTCTTTATTCTCCTTCATATATGAAGCTTAGTTTTCAGGGAATAAGATTCTAGCTGGGCATTGTTTTGTTTCAGAAGAGTGAGAATGGGGCCCCATTCTCTCCTTGCTTGTAAAGTCTCATTAGAGAAGTCTTGTGTTATCCGAATTAGGTTTCCCTTGTATGTCACTTGCTTCTTTCGTCTTACAGGTCTTAGAAGGGCCTCTTTAGTTGATATTTTGGTCAGTCTGATGACTGCATGTCGTGACGTCTTCCTGTTTGCATTGAATCTCCCAGGGGTCCTTTGAGCTTCTTGAACTTGTATATCGAGATTTTGAGCAAGGCCTGGGAAATTTTCCTCTATTATATCTTCAAATAGCTTGTCTAACCCTTGAGTGTTGTCTTCTTCCCCTTCTGGTAACCCAATGACTCTCCCATTAGGTTTCTTCACATAATCCCACATCTCTTGTAGGCTTTGCTCTTTTCTCTTGTTTCTCTGCTCTATCTCTGTGATGGTTTTATTTAGTTGGAGGGTGTTATCTTCAATCTCTGAGATTCTTTCTTCTGTTGGATATACCCTGTTCTTGAAGCTTTCCGCTGCATTTTGTAGTTCCCTGAATTGATTCTTCATTTCCAGCAGTTCAGTTAATCTTTTCTTCATTGTATCTATTTCTTTAATGAACTTTTGTTCTAGGTCCTGGAGGCTTTTTGTGGTTTCTTTGTGTTGGTTATTGGGTGTTGTTGCAGGTCAGTGAGTGTTCTTATGATCCACATAGGAAATTCCTCTTCTGTCATATTGGTTGCCTGATTTGGGTTGGTGTCCGTTTCTAGGGGGCTAGTGTTCCTCTTTGGGGGTGTGTTTTCCGTTTGGTTCTTCATATTTCCTGAGTTCTTTTGCTAATTTCTTCCCATGTTGATCAGTTGTTGTTTCTTTCCTTTAGGTTTTTGTTTGGGTATTCACACACCTTGTTTAGTTTCTGAGCCGTTAGGTTGTGTGTGGGTGAGATTTGACCACTCCCTATATATTGAATCAGTGGGTGCTGTGAAAAGGCTGTTCAGGATGCCGTCCCTGTCAGTAGATGGCGCTTGCTTGTAGGAACAGGCTATGCTTTTGATTTTGTGTCCTGTTATCAGCTCTTGTTCTGGGCGGAGCTGGGTTGGGTAAGCCTGGCCTCAGGCACCACCAATGTCATTAGCAGGGGTCAAAGCTCTGTTCTCTGCTTCCAGGAAAAGCTGTCAGGGCGGGGCTGGAATGGTCCTGCTCAGCCAGAAAGTCTGGGTGTGGGGGTAGGGCTGTCTGTGACCCGCAGTCTGGAGCAGGCCTTGCTTCTTTCCACCCTCCCCAACTCCATAGCTACTCCTGGGTCCCTGCCAGCAGGCCAGACCACACGCCACCAGGCCTCCCCGGACTGTGATGCTGGCGGGAGGTTTCCTGTGCAGGAACACCACCTGGCCTGGGTGTATGGCCTTCTTTTGGGAGGAGGGTTGCCCTCTAGGATGCTGATCTGCCCCTGAAGGCACACACACCTCAGTAGGCTGTTCACGTATAACCCTTCTGTGCCCCGAGCAATGCTAGACCTTGGTGCACGGGATCTGGTCTGCAGGTCCGACCTCTGGGTCCCAGAGTTCAAACTGGTCCCAATTCACCCACAGGGAGCCCAAGCTGGGTCTATGTCTCTCAGCCTGTGAGTCGGCACCGTTCTCCTGGCAACCCGGTGCCAGCAGCACCTGGGAGGGCTGGCGGGTAGGGAACTCACAGTCTGAGTTCCCCTGAGTCAGCTGTAGAGTCCCAAAAGGGAAGATCCCGTTCCCTGGAGGTGCCTCTGGCTGGTGGCTGTATTGTCTCTCTGGGCAGCCGCGGGTAGGGTCGGCGGAGGGGAGGAGGAGGCAATATGGCGCCTGCCACGCGGCTCGGGTCTGTGCACACGGAGGTGCCGGGAGGGAGTTGGGAGCCTGGTGCCGCGTCCACTACAGGCTCAATGCTGGCTGGTGGCCGCTGTCTCTGGGCTGGTGTCCGCAAGTCTCTCCACCTGCTGGGGAGCCCACCAGCAGTCCCAAATGCAGGGGAGGGGAAACGGCAAATGCCCGTACCTTTCCCGCTGGTCTCCGGGCTGCTCCGGTGGTCTCAGCCTCCAGTTCTCCTCTGTAGCCTCTTCCCGTGGAGTCTTCTGGGGTCTCAGGTACCCCTCCTTCTGGCCCTCATCCAGTGTATGCTCGTCTTCTTGCTTCTTTTTTCTAATTTCTGCTAGAATCTGTCTTTTCTGCAGAGATACTCTGTCTGGCGGTGTTTCTTGTCAGCCATCTTGATCCACCCGCCTGTCCTGTGTTTTATTGCATGAAATTCCCTAAGTTTATTTAATCAGTCTCCTATTGAAAGATATTTAGGATGATTCCTTTCTTTTGCTATTAAATTCCTGTAGTGAGCATCCTGTTTCTTATTTTTTTGTACATACATATACCTGCAAGATAAATTCCTAGAAGTAAAATTGTTAGGGTAAAGATTAGATATATAATCACAAAAATATGTGGAATTATGGGATACCTTTTGCTCTAAAATTTTTTTAGCTCTCTATACTTTTTGATATCTGATATCTCATGGTTGGTTTAGTTTATATATCTCAACTCACAAGATAGACTGGACATTACCTTGTATGTTAGGAAGCCATTTTGCATTTACTTTTTTTTAATCCTAGTGCTATATTTTTTATTTTATTAGCCAGCTTAAAATCATTTTTGGAAATAAACAGGAATATATGTGTGTGTATTCCTTATTTTATTTATAAAATTATAAATAGAGCACTCAATACTAATACTAATTAGAGAACTGATATTATAGCAATAGAGCACTCTAACATTTCAGTCTCCTATTTGGAAATGATGTGATGAAGAGCTCTTAGTACTTTTGATGCTTTACAATATTTAAAATTTTTACATGAAACATATCTTTCTCATTTCTTAATGCCTTTTGTTTATTCTTTTTAGATTGATTTTTCTGCAGTGAAAAATGTGATTACAGATAGATACGTTGTGTCTACTTTGCAAAGGTGGCGTCTCAACGTAATGCGTTTGAATTTTCGTGGCTGTCTTTTCCGACCAAAAACTTTCAAATCTATTAGTAAGTATGTTTATTACAACTATTTGTCTTGCTTTCCTGTATTCTAATTAAGCAAATAAAAAGAAAAACATAAATAAAGTGGAAACTTCAGGGAGTCTTAGTATATAAGTATGCCAATTGTAACTATTTGAAAAGCTTATAATATAGTCAGCTCTTACTGGGTTATATGCCCTGGGAATTGGTCATTTGTCTATTCTTCTTGGCCACTTTTTTTTTTGTCTAGTATTTGTATCAGTGGATCATCAGTTTATCTACTAAAAAATACAATACAAGAACATGTTCTCTTTTTTAAAAAAATCTAACAATAGACAGTAAAAGCATCTTTTGTTTAGTTCTCTCAAACCCATTCACTTACTCTAAGGCACCCAATGTATCAGTTTTCTGTTTTTCTAAAATATATTAATATATATGTGGTTAAAAATATACAATTTTAATTTTTAACATGAAAGGGATATTTTATATTTTCTTTTGTGTCCTGGAAATCTTTCCATGTCGGTACATACAGATCTACTAAATTCTTTTTAAAAGCTATAATATCATTTTCCATATTATAGATGTACTATAATTTATTTAGCTTTCTTCCTATTGATGGATATAGAGATTATTTTCAGTTTTTTCCAAGTTGGCTGCTTTGTACTTCCATTGCGATATTTATTTTTAACATATATGTCGTTTGAGATTCATTTTTTACTTATCACATACATATATTTCTGGAAATGAAGGAAACAATATATTTTTAAAAAGTTTAAATTCATACTGACTCCAGATAATAAGAAAAGAATGCCATATACGTGTATATATATCAACTTGAATAAGTCTAAAAATATTATTGGGTAAAATCAAGTTGCAGAATGATATATATAATCTAATACCATTTATATACAGTGAATATTTTGAATGTGAAAAATAATATATATATACTTTTTATTTTGAAATAGTTTCAATAATACCTTTTTAAGAGGGTATAGATTCATATAATAACATAAAAAGCATGCATGAGAATGAAAAACTACAGATGCAAATAGTGGTTAATATTTTTTCTTTTTTTCTCTCATTTTTTAACATTCATTCCCTAGGATCTCCTTTGCAGTGTTGAAAAGTAGCAGGGATATACAACAATCTTGTCTTGTTCTTGACTCCTTTATTCATGTTTTTAATGAGAATATTAATATTTTTATATATTTTTGTTTCTGGGATACATCCTTTATGGGAATATAATACAGTTCTCACTTTTATAGCAGCTGCCTCCCGCATAGTGCTTGTTCAATCTGGTCACATCTGCCTTTGGATTTTTAAGAACTATTAATTTCTGATCCGCTGAGAGAATTCCTGCTTTCTCTTCCAGGCATGTTATAGAGTTTTGAAAAAAGAATTCATTTCTTAGAATATGGGCAGGAGAGAGATGTTGAACATATGCTTTGTCTGCTATTTCAAACTAATTTATTACTTTTGTAGTAATGAAATTAATAAAATAATTGTAAACCTTAATACGTTAGCCACCCAAACTCTCTCTCTCTCTGTTTTTATCTGTCTCTCCCTCTCTATGTAGGTATATGTATATATACACATATGCACACATTATATATATACACACATATGAAATATGAAATATACATATAAAATATACCATTAAATAAATGTACATTTTTTGAAGAAAGAAAATGGACTCAAGATGCAACATTCAAGGTTTCAGTTTGGCCTAAGATTTTCATGACAGAAATGGTAGTTGAGGAATGGAATGAGTTTCTGAGGAATGGCAGGGCATGTGTCTCTGGAAGCTTTTATTTAATTAATTTATTAATTGAGATAAAATTTATATAACATAAAATTTACCTTTTTAAACCATTTTAAAGAGTACAGTACAGTGATTATTTTTTATTATATTAACAATGTTGAGCAACTATCACCATTATTTAATTCTAGAACATTTTCAAATGTTCAAAAAGAAACCCCAAAAGAAATCCTATACTCATTCTGCCTTTTATTTCCTTTTCTTAAATTGCTGATGAATATAAGTGGTGAGAACAGACATCTTTGTCTTGTTCCTGATTTCGGGGAGAAGGTTTTCAGTCTTTCATCATTAAGTAAAATGTTAGCTGTAGATCTAAAAAAAAATGCCCTTAATTGAGTTGAAGAAGTTCCCATACATGAGGTTTGTCCATAAAGTATCCAGCCATATAATATGAAAAGTAGAGACACTTATTAAAGAAGATACAAGAAACCTTGTATTTAGGACAATGAGGCCTTAGTCCTCTTCAAAATAGGCACCTTGGGACCTCACAGTTTTCTTAGCATCTCTTAACCTAACCTGTAGGCATTCAACATTCTCAGGTGTTCTGCTTGTAGTAGGCCTTCCGGAATGTAGATCACTTTCAACAGATTCTCAACCATCTTTGAAGCATTTGTACCACTTTTATTTGTGCTGTACTCATTGCATTGTCCCTGAAATCCTTCTGAATCATCCGAATTGTTTCTGTGGAGGAATGTTCAAGCTTAATGCAAAATTTGATGCAGATTTGTTGCTCTACTTGCTCAGTCATTTTGAATGTGATGACCACGTAGTACACATGCTCACTCAATTAGCAGCAAGGTTTGACATTACTATCCCAACAATATTGGATCATTTGAAATAAATTGGCAAGGTACAGAAGCTGGACAGATGGGTTCTGCATAAATTAAATAAGCGTCAAAAGAGAAATCATCTCAAAGCTTGCCAATATTTGCTCTCACAACATAAAGGCCAACCATTTCTATACCATATTATTATGTGTGATGAAAAATTGATTATTTTTGACAGTTGCAAGCATTCAGTACAATGCTTGGATAAAGATGAAATGCCAAAACAAAGCCAAAACTGAATATTCATTTAAAAAAGCAAATGGCGTCTGTTTGGTGGTTTAGTGCTGGAATTATCTACTACAGCTTCATGAAACCTGGTCAGTTGATCACAGCAGATGTCTGCTGGAACCAACTGGATGAAATGATGAGGATGCTTGCAATTAAGCAGCTGAGATTGGTCAATAGAGACAGGCTAATCCTCTTGCAAGACAATGCTGAACCACATGTCACACAAACAATGCTGCTCAAACTACAGCAGCTGGACTTGGAAACTCTCTGCCATCCACTGTATTCACCAGACCTTGCACCAACTGACTACCACTTCTTCCAGGCTTTGGAACACTTCTTGCAAGGAAAAATATTGAATTCTCAACAAGCTGTGGAAAATGCCTTTCACAATTTCATCATTATTCACTCTCTAGGCTTCTTCGCTCCTGACATAAATAAGCTACCATTAAGATGGCAAAATTGTGTCAATACTTTAGGCGTATACTTTGATTAATTGTACTGCTTCTTGTCTGAGATATAATAAACTAAACTTTTTTTTTTTGAGACAGAGTTCCACTCTGTTGCCTGGGCTAGAATGTTGTGGCGTCAGCATAGCTTACAGCAACCTCATACTCCTGGGCTCAAGCAATCCTTCTGCCTCAGCCTCCTGAGTAGCTGGGACTACAGGCACATGCCTCTATGCCCAACAAATTTTTTCTATTGTTAATAGAGATGGAGGTGTCACTCTTGTTCAGGACCTAATATTAGTCTTCCCTGTTTTTCTCCTGGTGAGTTTAGCTAAGAGTTGCCAATTTTGTTGACTGTTTCAAATAACCAATGTTTTGGTTCTTTTTTTTTTTTATTATGGTAAAATACACATAACATAAAAACTACCATTTTAACCACCTTTAAGTGTATGGTTCGGTGGCATTAAGTACATTCACATTATGGTGCCACCATCATCACCATCCATCTCCAGAACTTTTTCATCTTCCCCAACTGAAACTCTGTTCCCATTAAGTGCTAACTCCCAATTTCCCCTTCCTCCTAGCCCTTGGCAACCACCTTTCTGCTTTCCATGTCTATGAATTTAAAGACTGAGTACTTCATATGTAAGTGGAATTGTATAATAGTTCTTTTGTGACTGGCTTATTTCACTTAGCATAATGTCTTTAAGGTTCACTCATATTATAATATGTCAGAATTTCCTTCCTTTTTAAAGGTGACTAATATTCTATTGTATGCATATACCATATTTTGTTTATCCATTTTTTTGTCAATAGATACAATGGTTGCTTCTACCTTTTAGCTATTGTGAATGTTGCTGCTAGGAATATGGATATTCAAATAACTTTATTTTCATTGATTATTGTTTTTCTATTCTCTATTTTGTTTATCTCCATTCCAATCTTTATTATTCTGGTTGGTTTTGGTTTTGTTTGTTTGTTTTTTCCCCCCTAGTTTCTTAAGGTAGAAAGTGAGGTTATTGATTTAAAGCCTACCTTCTTCTTTTTAATAAACTTTATTTTTAGAGAAATTTTAGGCTCTCAACAAAATTGAATGGAAAACATAGAGATTTCCCATATCTCCCTTTCCCCCACACATTCATAGCCTCCCCATTATCAACACCACCCACAAGAGTGGTACATTGTTACAATTGATAAAACTACATTTACACATCATTATCACCCAAAGCCCAGAGTGTACATTCGGGTTCACTCTTAGTGTTGTCATTCTATGAGTTTTGACAAATTTATAATGACATTTATTCACCAGTATATTATCAGACTGAGTAGTTTCATTCCTTTCAGAATCTTCTGTGCTCTGTCTAGTCATCCCTCCTACTTCCACTAACCCCTGATCTTTTTATTGTCTCTGTAGTTTTGCCTTTTCCAGAATGTCGTATAGTTGCAATCATACAGTATGTGGCCTTTTGAGATAGGCTTCTTTCACTTAGTAATTTGCATTTAAATTTCTTCCACATCTTTTAATGGCTTCTTAGCTAATTTGTTTTTAGTGCTGAATAATATTCCATTGTCTGGATATACCACAGTTTATTTATCCATTCACCTATTAAAGGACATCTTGGTTGCTTCTAAGTTTTGGCAATTATGGATAAAGTTGTTATAAATATCCATATGCAAGTTTTTGTGCAGACATAAGTTTTCAGCTCC